AGCTCAGGTCATGATCTCAGGGTTCATGGGTTCGAGCCCCGCATTGGACTCTGTGCTAACAGCTCGGAGTCTGGAACCTGCTTCAGATTCTGTGTCTCCCTCTGTCTCTGCCCCTCCCCAACTCATGCTCTGTCTGTCTCTTTCTCTCTCAAAAACGAATAAACATTTTTAAAAAAATTTTTAATGGGGAGCTGCTACTGGCAAGAGGGGAGCCAGTGACATGTGTCCACCTAAGAGCAGTGTTGTTCCCACCAGCAGGTGCTCAGGGAGGAAGCTGAGGGGAGAATAGACAGAATGGGCGCCAGCTCTGGACCACCTGACCCCCTGGGCCAGGGGACAAGATAAGCACAGGCCATTACATCAAGCTCACCTGGAATTCAGGTCCCTGCAGGCTGAACAGTGGACAAGCAGGGGGCAGATGTCAGGTGTCACCCGCTGCCGGTGCTTCCCTGAGGAGATAGGTTTGCCTGGGGAGGGGTTCCAGAAAACCAGGGGAAGAGCTCTGAAGGTTAGGGTTCTCCTGCAGACCTTCATCCCCGATGCCTCCCTTCCCTGCTGCCAGCCCCACGTTGCCCTCCACCCTGGGACGTTCCCAGAACCACACCAGGGTCCATTTCTCTTGCCCTTTGGCTCTCTGTGCAGTGGGAAAGTGGATTGCCAGGCTCCTACATGGAGGAGGCCCTCTTCTAACATAAGGCCCTGTTCCTGGTTAGCCCCTGTGGGGGATGTACCCCGTGGCAGAGATCGAGACTCCTCCTCACACACACCCAGTCCTAGTGTGCTGGAAGCCACTGCATACCGGTGAGGAGAACCCAGCCTCAAGCTGGCATAGGTGTCCAGAGCAAAGAGGTGGTGTGGCCACTGAAGACTGCACCACACGCTAGACATGTGGACCAGAGGAAGACAGAAGCAGGGAGCTTTGGGGGCAACAACCAGCCCTCCAGAAGCCCCTTCTTCTTTGAGGGGACCTTGAGGGCACAGTAGACAGGTCGCCTGAGGGAGAGAGGACAGGAGAGGGCTCCTTCCCTCAATTGGCAGTCATCAAGGGCACACGCAGAAGGGATGGCCTCAATCAGGACTCTGGCGATCTGGAAAGGGCAGGCCGGGCCATCAGGTCAGGACTGTGCTGGCCGACCTGGCCCCAGTGTCGCCCTGCCTCTGCTCCACTTTCCCTGTATGACTCCTCGCCTGGGCTCCATGGAACCCACTGCACTTTCTTGACAGTCCCAGCGTGAGCTGATCCCTGTGACCAGGGGCCGTGTGCTCAAACGTCGGGCAGCACTACTATGGGACAATCTGGGCAGATGTACTTACCCCTTCAGCAGGGTCTATACCCCAGAGGCTGGAGTGAGGAAGGTGCCCCAGGGAGCAACAAGCACCACCAACCAGGCCCTTGAGGGGCACACAGGGGCTCCGGGCCCTGACCTCAGAGAAGGCCTGGCAGCATGGGCCTTAGGACCCTTCCCCTAAGAGATCAGCCACTGTGAAAGGGCTTGGTGAAGGGAAGACAGCGTGGATGTCCTGCTGGGCCACAGCATGGCCTCCTGCTCGGCCAGACCTGGTGCTTCTCTGCCCATACTTCCCACCCACCTCAGTCCAGCAGCCAGCACTTGTGACTGACGTGCAAGTCAGAGGCCCCACAAGGGGCTCACTCACTGGGTGCCTTCCCTTCTGTGTTGTGTTTTTCAGCCTTGCCCAGCTCCTCCAAAGGCGTCAGATCAGCTCACCAGCCCCTCCACACCCCTTGGTGGCCGCCAAAGCTCCAGCGTGCAGGATGCACCGACCTCTTCCCAGGGTCTGCTCAAACTCTTCCAGAGAAATTCGCCCATGGAGGACCTGGGGGCCAAGGGGGTGAGCCAGAGCATGGACTCCACTGCCATGTAGGACCCAGGCCTGGGAGGAGTCCAGGGACATCCTGCCTAACCCAAGGGGCACAGCTGGTCACCACAGTCTCTAGGCCTCTGCAGGGAGGTTCATTTCCCTGATGCCTGCGGCTGGTGCTGTGCCAAGCCCAGCCTGGGCCCTCGGCATTTTTATCAGGAGCCCTTGTAAATCTTCATTCTAGATGGAGGAGGGCCCAACACCTGCACCTCAGCCCCCGGCTGACTGGTGCTCACAGACCCCATCTGCTTCTCCCCCAGGCTAAGGAGAAGATGAAAGAGGAGTCGTGGAACATTCACTTCTTTGAGTACGGGCGTGGTATGTGCATGTACCGCACGGCCAGAACGCGGGAGCTGGTGCTGAAAGGCATCCCCGAGAGCCTCCGGGGAGAGCTGTGGCTCCTCTTCTCTGGTGAGCTGCCCCAGCTTCGGCCCGGATCCTCGGGGGCCCCTGCACGAGAGCTCCACTGAGTCAGCCAGGCGGGAACGGCCAGCCCTTTACAAGGCCGAAAGGGGGCTCTCGTCTGTGAGGGGCCCACGTCAGGAAAGCCACCGTGGGGAGCAGACACCAAGGACAGGGTGCCGTCTCCCGGCTGGTACCTTCCCACTTGCAGTGAGAGGCAGGTCCCCTGAGGCCTCCTTTCCTTGGGACAGGCCCTGACAGCATATACTCTCCTTGGCCACTTGGACAGTTTCATGAGAATGCTGTTTAAACTCTGGTGGGGATAACCCCTCCCAGGAGCAGTCACAAGGGAACCTTTGTCTCACCCCTCTTAACGGACCCCAGAGTTCCACTTCTCTTCTGTGGTGCATTGACATCTCCATCCTGCCCTGTCACTGCCCCCACGGTCTCAGGAGGGGAGGAGGAGGAGAGAGAGACAGCTGGCAGCTGTGTCTCCACAGGGGCCTGGAATGAGATGGTGACTCACCCTGGCTACTACGAGGAGCTGGTGGAGAAGTCCACAGGGAAGTACAGCCTGGCCACAGAGGAGATTGAGCGAGATCTCCACCGCTCCATGCCTGAGCACCCCGCCTTCCAGAACGAGCTCGGGATCGCTGCTCTCCGGCGGGTGCTGACCGCCTACGCTTTCCGAAACCCCACCATCGGCTACTGTCAGGTAAAGGGGATTGGCCAGGCCCAGAGACCACATCTCTCACCAGCAGCTCCTACAAGCAGAGCCTGGCACCCTGGGCCTTAGCGATGGCCTCACAGACTGTGACTGTGCCCCCTGACCCCCCGGGAAAAGCCCGATCACAGATAGAGGTGTAATTAGAAACAGTATTAATTGCTCGCTCTCCTGTGTGCCCTGGCCTGGGTCCTGGAGCATTTGACTGTTTAGTGTTTGTGGTAAAATGTAAACAACGTGTTAAGCATACGCTTCAGTGGCGTGAAGTGTGTCATTGTGCAACCATCCCCACCATCCATCTCCAAAACTCTTCTCATCTTGCAAAACTGAAGCTGTGTACTCCTGAAAACAACCTCCCTGGCAGCCCCCCTTCTTCTTTACGTCTCGATGGATTTGCCCTCTCTAAGTGCCTCATCTGAATGCAGTCACACGCTGTTTGTCGTTCCGTGGCTGGCTTCGTTCGCACAGGGTCCTCAAGGTTCATCTGTGTTGTATCACATGTCAGAATTTCCTTCCTTTTGGAGGCTGAATAATATTCATTCTGTGTATATATCGTACTTGGTCCATCCATCCATCTGTACACAGACGCTGGGTTTGCTTCTGCCTTCTGGCTATTGTGAATAATGCGCCGTGAGCATGCGTGTGCAGTATCTGTTCCTGTCCCTGCTTTCATTTCTTTTGTGTGTATACCCAGAAGTGAAATTGCTGGGTCGAATGGTAATTCTACCTTTAATTTTTTTTTTTAGGGATTGCCATAGTGTTTCCCAGCAGCTGCACCATTTTACATTCCCACCAGCAGTGCACGAGAGTTCCAGTAACCCCACATCCTTACCAAACTTGTTTTCTGGTCTTTTGATAAGAGTTGTCCTAATGGCATGAGTGTGGTGGCATCTCATGGTGGTTTTGATTTGCATTTCTGGTGGCATTTGATTTCACATACAGGGGACATTTTCCTGGCCCAGTCACATGGCTTTCTGTTTCCCTGAGACTGCAATCTGGATTTCAGGGAGCATGCCACCTCCTCAAAGGTCACTTTCTATAAAACCAGTGTTCTGCATGACGTGTCGCCGGTTCACGGAAAGTCAGGGCGCTGGCTTTAAAGAATTTTTAAGATAATCACCACCACCAAAGCGTTCTTCTTACAAGCCTGTCCATCAGCTCAGGCCGTGTACGGTCCCATTTGGCCTCGGACGCCCTGCTGCCATGTAGCTGTCATGGGCGGCTCACTTACACATCTTCCTGGCCCGTGTCACACCTCTGACACTAAAAACCACTCTGAAGAAGTAGCATCACATGCTCATATCCTCCTCAGCTTTCCAAGTGCCCACTGGCTCGACTTGAGGGACTTGGCAGATGGTTTTTGTCCAATCGATTTCCTGCAAATTGCCTTTTGGCAAGTTGCCTGGAGTTGGGTGGGAGGCCATGCAGGACACTGGGTGGGGGAACAGTCAGTTAGTTATATGCAGTGGCCAGCTCCGGGAGCCTCCCTTGCTGTCTCTGTGCTCACAGGCCATGAACATCGTCACCTCAGTGCTCCTGCTCTATGGCAGCGAGGAGGAGGCCTTCTGGCTGCTGGTGGCCCTCTGTGAGCGCATGCTGCCCGACTACTACAACACCAGAGTGGTGGGTGAGTGCCTGCGGCCCGGCTTTCCCTGCGGGGGCAGCGGCCTTCCTGTGCCAGGCTCTCCACTGAGCACACAGCACAAGTGAGTGGAGGCCTCACAGACGTGCAACAGGCTGCAGACAGTCACGGCTTCCTTTCTACGGATGAAGAGGCTGGAAAGTGGAGACCCAAACACAGACCCCCTACCATCTCACTGAGCCTTTACACATTGCCCTCGGAGTGGCTGGCAATGAGAAGATACTACACAGTCAGTGGTTTTTAAAGGAGAGCCTGGGGCCTAAATTCTCATCCATCCAACTCTTCCTAAGCCTTTTTTTAAGTTTATTTTTATTTATTTTTGATAGAGAGCAAGTAGGGAAGGGGCAGAGAGAGAATCCTAAGCAGGCTCCGCGCTGTCAGCACAGAGTCCGATGCAGGGTTCGAACTCATGAACCACAAGATCGTGACCTGAGCCAAAATCAAGAGTTGGACATTTAACTGACTGAGCCATTCAGGCACCCCTTAAGTCTTTTTATTGTACAAAATTTCCAGTATCACAGCCAGAGCATGTAGTACATCCCCATGCACCTGTAAA